ACAAAAATCGTAATAGACGATGGGTTTTCGTTGTTGTCTTTATGCCTTGAAAACCATCATTTAGTGGACTGATATATTTTGAATGTCAAAATACGATGATTTTTCACGTTATTAAGCTCCCCTTAGAAGCACGACGGTTCCTACTTAAAATCAATTCAACACAATTTATTGTTTCATACCCTATCATGACGGTTTTATAACAACTGTGAAAAACCATGACAGATTTTATTTGTACCGTCATCTAATGGGCATGGTGGGTTTACACCATTGTAGTAGTGTACCTTTTCAACCTGTCTTTTGATTTGTTTTATTTTGGTGCTGGCATGTTGGTTAAGCTGTTGTCTTTGGCTCTAATCTCCCAGTCTTCAGGTTTCCCCTTTGCGGGTTCAATGAAGTATAATTTGACCACAAAATAAAAAAATCAATTAGCTGACCTTTTCTACGCATTGCGCCAGAAAAAAATTAGATTGTCTTGTCTTAGGGGGGGTGTATTCAATTAGGATTTTAAAAGACTATTTTGGGATAAATAAGTCTTGTGGTATTCAATTAAGACTTTTAAATAATCTAAACAAGTCTTGTGGTATTCAATAAGGACTTTTAGGATTTTTTAAAGAGGGTGTCCAAATCTAGTGGTATTCAATCAAGACTTTAAACAAGTAACAAAAAGTCTTTTGGTATTCAAAAACTTGCTAATTTCGAAGGATTTTTTTTAAAGAAGGAATTTGTGTGACTTTTTAATATGAGCAGTTTCACCTAATCCATTAACCACACAAAGTCAGCAGTCTACACTACTACATTTTACATTTTGCGCGACGAAGAGAATTTCGTCACGCAAAATACATTGTAGTCGCACAAATTTTAGCGCGACAGAAACTTCGTCGCGCAGATTCCGTCGTGCAAAGATCGTGAAGAAAGACTTTGCGCGACGAATATTTTTCATTCGTCACTCAAAGAGACTTTGCGTGACGAAAAAACAATGGTCACGCAAAGTGACTTTGCGCGACGAGAAACATTGGTCGCGCAAAGTAACTTTGCGTGACGAAAATATTGGTCGCGCAAAGCGACTTTGCGCAACAAAAAAATATTTGTCACGCAAAGTTTTGCGCGACAAAAAAATTTTAAAAAAAATATTTTGGTTTTTGACTTTTTGTTTTATTATTTTGGTTTTATATTAATTATTTTGAATTTTTGCGCGACGAAATATTTTGGTTTTTGACTTTTTGTTTTATTATTTTTTTAATATTAATTTCATTATATTAATTATTTCAAATTTTTACTTTTTAAATTTAATTTAATTGTATGCTTTTTTTTCGTTACTTTAATTTAAATTGATATTTATTTAATTATATTAATTTATTCAAATTTTTACTTTTTAAATTTAATTTAATTACTTTAATTTAAATTGACATATTGAAAATGGTACTTAGGTGACGAGGGGTAAACTTAAGCACACAAACAAGACACAACAACACAGCTAGCTTCACACACTTTAAACCTTGACCAAATACACATATGACTAGTCAACTACTAGTCAAGAAACAATCACAACCAATAGAATACACAGAGCATGCCACAATGTACCTGCAATCCTAGAAGATTACTAGTGACAACCTAGGCACTCAGAAGGACCCGTCAATCTAGGCATCCCCTGTGCTAGCAACAACTATGGTGAAAGTGTGTGAAATCATCATTATCATGTAAACATCAAACAGCAGATACAGATGACTAGTCAACCACCAAGAACACAAACCCAGAAAAATTACAGATATGCAAAACAGATTTTGTTCACCCAGAAACCCACCATTGGGAAAAACTGGGAGTCATCAACCGACCAGGCAATCCACTAAGTAGAAAAAGATTCTTACAAAGGAAACACAACCAAGCTCAAGAAGCACCTAGGTCTATTTAGGAATATGAGGAATACCTCCTTTGTGCAATCTTCTTCTCCAACTTAGCAAAGCTTGAAGCTCAGTCCTTCATGGCAATGGCAGCTCCTTCTCCAGCTCGTTCATCCCATGGCACTAGCTTGCAAGCTCCAACACAAACCGAAACCAATTTGGATTCAAAGGAGAAAGATCAATTTCTTCAAGAAACCATACTCTTGAAGAAATCAATCTTGAATCTGACCTAGATATAAATGATAGAATGATTTAAATAGCTAGATGCAGATTTGTGTTTCAAATGCAGTTTTTCAAAAAGAAATCAATTGGAAAAACTCATAGATGAAATAAGATGGTTCTCTCGTGGAAGAAGAAGCGAAAGATGGCAAGCCAAACTTTCCAAAACTTCCACACGAAAGAGACAACTGCCAAATGAGAAATATCGTGGGCTATACAGACCAACAAATTCGTTAGGTCAGAAAACCCACTTGGCAGCAGAGAGAGAGAAAGAAGAATAGGACAAAACAGTTTGTTATCCAGCTGGAGGCAAGGATGACTAGTCATATGAGAAACGGTTGACTAGTCATCTTTTTATGAAAACAGTTTTATGTAATGATATGCAATGCTCAATACCTTTGTCAACTTGCTTGAGCCACCATAGAGCAGAGAATAGAGAAGAGCACCAATAAAAGTTTTCCCTAATCTAGACTTGAGCTTGATAAATTACATTACACATCCTATTACAAAGTTGTCAAGGGAAGCCAAAAGAAATTAGTAAAAACCATACATTAACACATATTCAAAGTAAAATTACATATGAAAAATAGTGATCAAATTATCCAATAAATATATATATAATATTCAAAATGTACACATAAATTAACAAAGTACAATAAATAAATAAAGGGATAATCTCCCCTAAAATGATTATACAACAAATCCAACCCAAACTCCAATCCCTCCCCTTTACTCAACCCCAAACCCCACACAAACTCAAAACTAACTCCAAAAACACATATTAATGAAAAAAAATTAAAAATTTGGAGAGAATCTACCTTTTGGCAAGATTGAGAGTGAGTGAGAATGAGAGAGAGAAGTGAGTGTGAGAGAATTAGAGAAGATAGTGATAGAGTGAGTGAGAGTGAGAGATAGTGAAAAGAGAGATGAGAGAGTGAGTGAGAGTGAGAGATAGTGAAGAGAGAGATGATGAGAGATTAAGTGAGAGGAGTGAGTGTGAGAGAAATGGTGGGATTTGGGGAAAGGGAAAGAGAGAGGAGAGGTAAGAGTAGAGAAAGACATTGAGAAAATGGTGGAGTTATTTTCATTTTAAAATGGTATCACTTTGCGCGACGAAAGATGTTGTTGGTCGCTCAAAGTTTTGCGCGACGAAAAAAATTGGTCGCGCAAAGTTTTGTGCGATGAATACTGGAATATTGGTTGCGCAAAGTTTTGCGCAACGAATATTAGTATATTGGTCGCGCAAAGTAAAAAAAAATCTCGCGTCCCATTTTTGGTATCCACCCAAATTTTGAAATTTTTGCGCGACGAAAAATACATATTGGTCTAAAAAAATTATTTTTGGTACCCGCCAAATTTTTGCATGACAAAAAATATATATTGGTCGCGCAAAATTTTGAGCGACACAAAATATTGGTCGCACAAAGTCTAAATATTTTTTTTTATTTAAAATCCCGCGTCCCATTTTTGGTACCCGCCCAAATTTTTAGAGTTTTGTGCGACGAATTGTTGGGTCGCGCAAACTTTTGAGAGACGAAAAATTGGTTCGTAGCACGATATTTATAAAAATAATTGTTATGAATAATAAAAAATAAATTTTTTTTTACGATTTAAAATATAAATAAGGTTAAAGCTACTTAATAAATTTATATACCAATTTCTTAAGTGTTATACGTACAAAATAAATAAATTTAAAGCTACTTAATAAGTAAATAAATATATATATACACACACCATTCAACGATCCAACCGTCAGACTTGTTTGTATATACTTCAAGATCGTATACCCCAAAAATCGCAAAAAACAAACATTCGGAGACCCAGTAACGGGACAAAAAATTTCAACGGTTCTAAATGAAAAATCACGATTTAACTCCGATTTTGATGATTTTTTACAGCTACACTCCTTGACCTTATATGAAGACAATGAACTAATTCGATCGTCAATTTAAAATATTTACACTAGTGGATACCACAAAATCTTATGTTATATTTAACAAAAGTATAAATAAACTCTTAATTGTTAATGAATATATTGTTTTGATGGCATACGCATTCTATGAAACTAGTTTGAACGATCCAACCATCAAACTTGTTTGTTTATACTTCGAGATCATATCTGCCAAAAATCGGAAAAAATAAACATTCAGAGATCAAGTAATGGGACATAACCTTTTGACGGTTATGAATGAAAAATCACGATTTAACGGTTATTTTAACTCCGATTTTGATGATTTTTTTATAGCTATACTCTTTGACCCTATATGAATACAATGAACAAATTCGATCGTCAATTTAAAAAATATATTTTCTAACAAAAACCCAATCCAAACAACAATAATATTTTTCTAACAAAGATTTTAAAAAATAATTTTTTTTAATTTATTTATTTTACAAGGACTTTGCGCGACGAAGTTTTGTTGTTTCGTCACTCAAAGTAGCTTTGAGCGACGAATTTTTTTTTGTCGCACAAAATTTGGCCGTGCAAGACTTCGCACGACAACGTATGGTCGTCGCGCAAAAGTTGGTCGCGCAAAGTCACTTTGAGTGACGAATTATTTTTCGTCATGCAAAAGTTGGTCGCGCAAGGTTTTTAGCGACGAAGTTTTTAGTTTCATTGCGCAAAGTGACTTTGAGCGACGAATAATTTTTCGTCGCGCAAAATTTGGTCGCGCAAGGGTTATTTTGTAGTAGTGCTAGTTAGCTGCTCAGTCAATGGAAGTTCTAACCGTCTCCACACAAAGTACTTATTTTTTTTTATTGAAACTTATCGATGAAGGCTTAAACAGTGCCTTCCTCCTGGTTTTAAACATCTAGTCTGTATTGCCGGTTGAACATAAGAACTCTACAGAGGATAAAAAACTTTCTTTTCAGCTTTCATCAATGGCAGGTATGTAAATTTATTTGATTCAAGATCTTCTCCTTGATGTGATTCTATTTGTGTACGCCTAAGGAATTTATGTAATTATTTTACAGTAGTAACTTACATTTATTGAAAGATTTTGGAGTATTTGCCCAAAGTTTCACTTCTTTGAAGATTCTTTTTCATTTTTATCTTTGCATATATATATATATATATCAGATGGATCTCGAACTGAAGCTGAGCAACTGAACAGGAGCCCCGAGGAAAATTCTGGAGAAAGAAATGAACAAGAGCTTTCGCAAAATGAAAATAGTGAGACCTGGAAGATTCATAGGAATGAAATCAGCTCATCTGAAGGCACAGACGTTGGGGTTTTCGACTTCGGCAACAAATACGATGCAGGTCATATTGATGGTCTCGAAGCTAGGAAGGGTCGAAACTACAACATTGAGGGCAATAAAATCGATTCAAACAAAGGCAAGCGTGTGGGGATTGGCAAATTTGGCAACAACTACTCCATGTCGACCGCATCATTTTTACTGGGTGGCCTTATTGTTCTAGTTTTTGCTATATGTAAGCGAAGCTAGCGGTACAAACAAGAAGGAAATATAAATAAGATAAAAAGGAAAGGGGCTGCTGAATAAACAGGCTGGAATTTCCAAGAGGAAAACAAAAACTGAGATGTATGGTTCGGAGATTTGGGGCCACCAGAACTCCTACACTCTAACTTGTCTCGGAATCTGAATGTTATTTCTCTTATATTTCTGTATTTCTTTTCTTCTTCTTCTACATGCCATCAGTACATTAGTGCTGAGTAAGTTTTTTGTTTCTTCTTTGTCTACATGCGATCAGTACTTTATGCATGGTATACTCTCCTATGAAGCAAGGATACTCTTATTTATAAATTATAATAGGTTGTTGGATACGCCGTTGGATACTTTATGCATGGTATACTCTCCGATACACGTCGGATACATAAGGAGGTGCAGCTCCACCTCCCCTTGCCGGAAAAAACTATGGAATCGCCGGATGTTGTCCCTTTGCAGGTGCCCACCACCTGTTTGAGCAAATGACTGAGTGACCTTCCTTTTCTCTTCTTTGCTGTGCGTGCTGCGCGCATCTCTTTTTTTTTTATATAAATAATTCCTGAACAAAATGATGCGTTTTGGGCCAGGCCAAATATTTGAAAATAATAATAATAATAATAAAAGCAAGATGAAGAAGAAACTTACCTTCCACGCAGAGGAGTCCTGAAAGAAGACTTTAATTTGATTTTAATTGCTAAAAAACAGAAGCCTGGCTTGGGTGTGGCGTTGAAGGGGAGTAGGCTCTTGCCGATGCAGCAGACCCATCCTTCTCCACCAAGTTGCAAGTTCGACTTCGAATGTAATTTTTTTTTAGGTTTTTTACTTCTGTTTTTTTTATTAAAAAAAAAAGTCTTTCATTATTATTATTTTCTAATTTATTTGTTTAATTGATAATTTGATTTGCATTTTGATTAGATTAATTAATATTAATTAATAATTTTATATGAATTTTGGTATACTAATATATGTAAATTGGCATGGATTTTGTTCATATATTAATTGATATAGACTCAGTCAATTAATCATAGTATTGGTTGTCTATTTTTGTTTTAATTTTTTTAGTTTTTAACCTTTTAAATATTGCACTTCTCCTGAAAAATTCCTGGATCTGTCATTTCCGAACACGGGTTTAGGTATCAAATATATATTTTTATGTTATTTAAAATATGTTTAAACGTAGCCTAATTATAGGCTTTTAATTTAAAAATTCAAACCCAATACACTAAAAAGCCTTTCCTCATCCCCTCAATCTTTCTTGTATATTAAGAAAGAGAAAAAGCAATCAGTTTAAAAATACAAATCCAGTACACTAATAACATGTTTACTAATTTGTAATTGGATTAGGAGGAATTGAATTGAGGAGGAGTTGGATTGAGCAAAATTAGATTTTGGATTCCTATTAAAGTTGTTTACTAAACCATATAAATTAAGGGGAGTTGGATTCCGGATTTCAAATTTTTTTGCAATTTTTTAGGAGAAGATTTTGAAGGAGAAAAATATTTGGTGTGGAAAGTGAAAAATATTTGAAGGAGAAGATTTTGTATGAAGATTGGTTGTGGAAAGTGAATAATATTGATAAGTATGTATAGAAAAAGAATTTCAGAATTTTTTGGTATTTTTTAAAAACAATTTCAATTTTTTTTGCAATTTTTTAGGCAAAAAAAGCTCACTCGTTGGATTTCTCATAAATCCATGATCGGAGCGTCCAGAAAGCGCCACGTGGCTTCTTCCTATTGGTTTTTATCAGCGCTAATGTCTACCGTGACATCATGCTACATCAACAACCTTCAAGCCACATCCCAGGCGATTTTTGCCCGTGGGCTTGCCCTGGTTTCCCATCCCTTCCCCGAGCTGGACCTTGAGTGCCGGAGGGGTTTTTTGGGCCAGGAGCCCCTTTTGCCTACCTTCCCCCCCTTGCAGTGGAAGTAATCTAGACACACCATGAAAAGATTAGAGTGAACAACCACGACGACTTTAAAATTCCTTTCCCCAATGACGACGGGGTCCTCCTTTGAATATTTCTATACTCTCCATGACGCCTCTACCTCCTTTAATTTCACCTCCTAGGAAACGGGCGGTGTATTTATTTAGTTTTTTTGGGTGTGATTATGATTGATTTTGGTTTGCATAATTTTGATTTTGCTTAATTTCTTTTTTGGATGTTAATTTGTAATTCTTGATATGTATATAAATCACACATATATTTCCATATGGATGCAGTGCAGCTAAAATACCTTAAACCAAAACAGAAAGTTACAAAATCTCTACAAAGAATTGTTGTTCATTTTAAGCAGAGCCGGCCCTGGCCCAGGGCCCAAAATTGTGGTGGGCATAAAAATATGGTTTTTTAGCCTATATAATTATGTTTTAATTTTAATTTTTTTTTAAAAAAACCCAAAACAGTTAGTGTCCTAGAAGGAAGTAGACGTAATCATTAATCATGGCAACACAAACCTCTTTGAGATTCTCTAGGAAACTAAATATAAATTATATAATATAATATTTCAAAAAACAAAAATTAATGAAACTAAACATATGGAAACAAAGGGCTCTTAACAACAACAAAAACCAAACAAACGTTCTTACCTTAACAAAAAAAAAGACCTGGCAGTGGCAGCAACACAGATTGGAAGCTTTAGCAATTTGAAGGTCTTTTCTTTGTGTCATTCTTTTTTATAAATAGATGTATAATAGGATTTTTGTAAGAGATATCTTTGTTAATTTATTTTTATTTTTGTTTGATTTAGCAAAAAACTCAATAGAGATTCTTGTTTTTCATTAGTTTGCAGATAAAAAATGTTAGTTTTTATTATTCTTTGTACATTAGTTTTATTGTTATTGTTCGTGTTTATATATAAAAAATGTTACCTTAATAAATTAATTTATTTTTTTATAATTGTTTTTTTTTTTTTTTTTTTTTTTTTTATTTTAGTTTTTTAATTTGTCTAAAAGGGCACTCTCTAGAAATTTGCCCTGGGCCTTAGAAAACCTAGGACCAGCTCTGATTCTAAGAAATATCTCATACATAACCACGTGATAACTAACCTCAACAAAAATTACAACATCAAATAATATACCAAATTAAAAAACTAAAATTACAATTTTGCGTGAGGAGAGTAGGGTGGTGTGAAAACTTTGAGTAGGAGAGATCTAATTGCAGATAAGATTGGCACTTATGATATCTTAGAATCAAAACTAGTCCAATTCGATCTTTTGAATTGGGTTTGACTTATTTGGTCAACTCTTTATTTTTTTCTCAACCCAATTTGATAATAGATTGTCACATCAATTTTGATAATAGATTGTCACACAACAAAGCTAGAGCAGGAAAGAAAAAAAAACTAGAGCAAAATTATCTACCTAATTGATTTTCATACTTAATAAAATAATCAAAAAGCATGAGAGGGCACAATAAAATGAGACAGTGGTAGGAAGCATAGAAAATTGAAATGGCAAAGCCCCTATGAGCCCACAATGCACATGGATTTTATTTAGCAATTCGAGACTTACGACAACGAGTTAGAGAAGACTACGTTTGCATTCACTAGATGGTACTTTAAATCTAATTGCAGAAAATATGTAATGATAATATTCAAATACACTATTTTGTGCCTTTTTGACACTTATTAGGTGGGTCTCCACTTTGATGGTGCATCTAGATTGTTGAGAGTACGTCACACTATGAAAAGTTAAACGCATTTAACATAAGTTTATAAAGAGTTAGGCTACTCCTACATAGCCCATTAATTTTAAGATGAAACTTCAACGTCCTTTATGTTATCATAGTAGACAATCGTGTATTGGGCACAACGCCATTTCCAATTGGTTCTTTATCTTTCAAACTTCACTTTCAAGAAAGGATAATGTATGTGGAAAATACATAACTAGTGCCCATGGGATTCCTACCACCCAAGTGTGTTTTATCTGAGGATTCAAACCCATCCCTAGGATTTATGATACACCACCCACCCCAACCACCACACCCCGCGGCCCAACCCCGTCCCCTAACTAGTGGGAAAAAAAAACATAATTAGTTAGTTGACAAGAATAAAAACTTGTATGAACGGGGATAGTATTATTTTGCAATCTCGGTAAACCACAGACTGCATGAAGTTATCACGCATGGCATAACATGATTGGCTGGGGATAGCAATGCTATTCTTGTTTCATGTAAGTGTTTCTCCTGGACAGGGGCTGGCAATGTGGTGTTGTCGATTCAATTATGCCAAAATTGATTCAGCTGCATCCTCAACTTGTGATACTTGCAAGTGCACAAGCCGTTGGGTAGTATAGCATGTGTAAGTGCTAGGTTGATCCCATGAGGATTGTTGATAGATTGATTCAATTCGATTCCCTGCACAAAATAGAAATGGAAACAAGGTTTAAAGATGATTGACAAGAGTACATGAATTGAAAACAAAAAGTTAAACAAACAAAGAAGAAAGACAATAGGGAACAATCCAATTCTAAGTCTCAAACAATCATGTTAACAAGTTCAATTCAAGTAAAAAGATTGATTTTCTTTAATGTATAATTTAGCCATGGTGTCTGGTCTAAACCTTGTATTCCTAATTCTTCAATCAGATCCTTTGTTGTTAAACCTAAATCAAGCATTAGAAATTCATTGTGTATAGGAGAACATTTTAAACAACCAAACATGTATCTAATCCCTGTTGTCGATGGTCCATACATACGCTTCCTATTCATAGTTCAATTCGAATTAAGGCATATAGTGTCTACTCTTAATTCCAACCAAGATAGTTAACATACAAGTTTAAATTCCCTCATGTGTGTTGTGTAGCCATATATTTATAGTCTCCTTGCTTGGCTAGGGTTTAAAGAATAATCCTTATTTAATTAGGATTATTCTTACTAAAAAAGATTATGAGAATTAATCAAAGAGATTTGCTGAAAATTGGTTCCATGATTTAGGGAAGATACTCATATCTTAAATCAAAGATAAATCTCTAATTAATTAGGGTAATTAGCTGAGACCTAAGGACTATCCCATTTTCCACGTGTCATTCTTATTGGTCTTAAAAATATGTGTTCCCACATTGTGCACACAAGCTCGCCTGAACTTGGTCCCTACAATGGTTAGTCTCAACTACACAAAAGATCATTCCTATTATCCTATTTTCCATAATTTCTTTATCAACCCAACAATTCCAACCATCACCCATAACAAATGAACATGTCAATATTAATAAAATAATATTATAATAATTAGCAACATGTAAACACCCAATATCAAGAATAATAATCAAATAATAATATCACGCATAATATAGTGTTCACGAAATTTAATTAAAAAAGCTCCCTAAGAAACCCCCTACCTCGATTCCAAAGCTTTGCTCCAAGTTAAGAAACACATGCTAAGCCCTCAAAGAATTTCATCACCACTTCCTCTCTCTTCCTCTCTCACTTTCTTCTTTCTTTCATTCTCGCTTCTCCTTTCTTACTCTTATTTCAATTGTGGAAGGACCTATTTATATTAGCATCAGGGGCAGCCCTGAGGGTGTGCAAGTGGTGCCACCGCACAGGGCCCGAATTTTTATTTTATTTTTATGTGTATATTATATATATGTATATATATATATTAATATTATAGGTATTATATATATACTTGAGTGTTTAGGACAATAACACAAGCGAGTATTTGGTTGAGTTGGAAATCAATGCCTTGATTTTAGTAGGCAAGTCGGGTTTGAGTCAGTATTGTATCATTCATCAGTTGTATATTTACATTTCTTCTCTTTTTGTTAACAACATAAGGAAAATAAAAAACTTGTTAAAAAAAAAAAAGGAAACACTCCAAAGAAGAGGAAAACAATATATACAAGCTTTTGCCAATCAATCAAAAAAATTTGTGGTGTATGTTTTCACCCACTCAAAACAAAACAAAAAACGTTCATGTCTTCTTCTTCCTCTTCTTTTTTCTCAAATTGAAACATTAAAATATTTGTGAATTTGATTTATGGTTGCCATTGCATGCTAATCGATGATAAATTTTAGTTATTAAAAAAATTATCTTATGGTATTAAGTCATGACAAATTTTTTTTAATCATAATAATATTTTCATATTAGATGAATATACTGTTAGCGAGATCCTAACTTAATTAGGATATTTATTTCCTAGTTTATTAGGATTATATTTCTTTCCTTTTTGTACAGATATTGTGTAATTAGGTTTTTTATCTTGTTTAGTTTGACCCTAGTAGGGTTACATCCTTGTATCATAAATACATTCTTTTGGAGAATGAAATACAACCTGAAAAATATTCTACCCATATTGTTTGACTTGGCATCAGAGCCAACTTTTCTAGTGACCTGTTTGTTGTGCCCACTCGTGTTCTATCCCCATATTTTTTTTCTCTACCTGTGCCATGTGTGCCCTCCTGGGTTTGTGTGTTGTGTTGTGGTGTTCGTGCCATTCCTGTCTTTGTGCATCTGTCGTATTTATGCCTTTGCTTTGTTCTGCTGTGTACTCTATTGTGTTCATGCCTGTCTTCTTGCATCTGCCATATTTGTGCCTCTGTTGTGTTCCGTTGTATACTCTGTCGTGATCTGTTGAGTTTATGTTGTAATCATGGGTGATAACTCTATTGCTGGAGCTGTTGCTGCTACCTCTGCAAATTTTTGTGTTTCTAAGTCTATTCCAGGTATTGGCTCTAATACTTGGATAATTGACACTGGTGCTTCTGATCATATGACTTATTATGCTAAATTTTTTTATCAGTTGTCTAGTAACACCCATGACCCATACATAACTAGTGCTAATGACTTGCCCTCTCCAATTATTGGTGAGGGCACAATCTCTCTCACTCCTACTCTGTCCTTATCTCGTGTGTTACTAGTTCCCAATATCCATTGTAACTTGTTATCTATTGGTCGATTACTTGATACACTTAATGTTTCTGCTAGTTTCTATTTTACGCATTGCTCTTTTCAGGATCTCAAGACTCATGAGATGATTGGGCATGGTAAACGGATAAGGAGGGGTTATATTATTTGACATTGCCTTCTGCACCAGTTCGTGATTGTGTCGTTAATACTATTCAAAGTTGCAATGTCAAAGACAAACAACAAATTTGGTTATGGCATCGTCGCTTGGGACACCCGTCATTTGGCTACCTTAAGTGTCTGTTTCCATCTTTGTTCCGCTCTTGTGATGAGTCCAGTTTTAAGTGTGAGACATGTATTTTGGCTAAGAGTCATCGCACTGTATTTCCTTTGAGTGACAGTAAAGCTGCAAAGCCTTTTGATTTAGTGCATTCTGATGTGTGGGGTCCGGCTCGCGTTACTTCGAACGGATTTCGTTGGTTCATCACATTTATTGATGATTGTACCCGACTTACTTGGGTTTGCTTGCTGAAAAATAAACATGATGTTGCTTCCATCCTCCTAGAGTTCTGTACTATGGTATTTACTCAGTTTCATGCTCAGGTCAAAGTATTCCGAACTGATAACGGAGGCAAATATGTGAATAACACTTTGGCATCTTTCTTCATTGCTCAAGGTATTATTCACCAAACAACAACCTTATTTACTTAGTTGAATGGTGTGTCTGAACACAAGAATCGTCATCACTTGAAATTGCCCGCTTCCTTATATTGGACATGTCTGTTCCCCATCATCTTTGGGGGCATGCTATTTTATCTGTTGCCTAATCGTACTCTTAGTCGGGTTCTTGATTTCAAGACTCCACATGATGTGTTTGGTGACCATGTTTCCTCTGTCTCAGTCTCCAAGTTGGCTCCTAAAGTTTTTGGGTGTGTTGCCTATGTTCATGTCTACTCTTATCAACGGAGTAAACTTGATCCTTGTGCTATGCGATGTGTTTTTATTGGTTACTCGTTTACTCAGAAAGGGTTATAAGTGCTATCATCCACCTACCCAGAATGTGCATGTTACTTTGGACATGACTTTCCATGAAGAAGTCCCTATTATGTCTCTCCCTCCTTTCCAATTCATGGGGAGAGGGGGAGTGAATTGGAGAGTCTTGGATTAGCGAATGATGTGTTTGAGGATGCTGCTATAGGGAAGGAAACGACATGTCGCACTAAAGTAAGTAACCGGTCACCCATATCTGAAGATGAAACTTGTGGTCCCTGTGAAAAAACGACTGATCGCCCTTTAGAACTCGATCAGTCGCCCATATCTGGAGATGAAGTAGGTGCTCTCGGTGTCGCAACGACTGGTCACACTAAAGCAGGTGACTAGTCGCCTGTATATGAAACTAATGACAGTGATTCTTGTATGGATGAGTTCGATGCAATACCCTTCTCTGCCTTGCCAGTGCTCCAATCTATTCATGATAGTGAATCAAGTGAGGTAATTTCTAATGATCTATCTGTGTCAATTTATCAGTTACCCCCGTGAACTACTCGTGGGAAACCTAAAGTACAATATTCTCCTGACATACATGCCAAGTCTAAATATCCCATTAGCCATTATGTGTCAACTCATCATTTGTCTAAGTCATATGCATGATATTTTTGTCAATTATCTAGTGTATGTGTGTCAACTAAGCTGCAGGATACTTTATCTAACCCCAAATGGATGGATGCCATGAATGTTGAAATGGATGCCTTGAACAAGAATAAGACATGGGATTTAGTTCCTTTGCTATGAGGGAAGAAAGCTGTTAGATGCAGATGGGTGTTTACTTTGAAGCATAAAGCTGATGGTTCCATTGACCGTTACAAGGCTAGATTGGTAGCAAAGGGTTATACTCAGACCTATGGAGTGGATTATTTGGAGACCTTTACTCCAGTGGCAAAGCTCAATACTGTGCGTGTACTATTGTCCTTGGCTGCTAACCATGACTGATCCTTATTACAATTCGATGTCAAAAATACATTTCTACATGGTGACCTCAAGGAGGAGATTTACATGGATCTCCCTCTTGGTATTCCTGTAACCACTACTACAAAAATCGAAATAGACGACGGGAAACCACCGTCGTGTAAAAGGTTTTCGCCCGGTCGTGAAATCGACTGCCGTCTATTTGGGTTTTAAACTACGACGGCTTTTCACCGTCGTTGTTTATCAGTAAAGATGACGGTTTTTAAAGAAAATCGTCGTTGTTTAGAGGTAAAGATCGTTAATTATAGGAGGAAAGACGACTGTTTTTAATAAAACCGTCGTGTATTGTATGTAAAAATGACGATTTTTTTATGACAACCGTCGTGGATTGTTTATAAAGACGTCATCTTTACATACAATAGATGACCTTTTTTTATAAAAAGCGTCATCTTTACATACAATAGACGACGGTTTTTTATAAAAAGCGTCATCTTTACGTACAATAGACGACGGTTTTTTTATAAAAAGCGTCATCTTTACGTACAATAGACGACGGTTTTTTTTATAAAAAGCGTCATCTTTACGTACAATAGACGACGGTTTTTTTATAAAAAGCGTCATCTTTAAGTACAATAGACGACGGTTTTATAAAAAGCGTCATCTTTACATACAATAGACGACGGTTTTTATAAAAAAAACGTCATATTTACGTACAATAATGCTTTTTGATTTCCTATGATGCTATACAACAATTTTAACTAGAAAATCAACCATAATGCTTTATCAAAAATAGTTTCTTTCATAAAACTTGAAGATTCAATAGTTATTACATAGTTAACCAATCTTTATTCTACAACAAAAATAATTCCTAACAAGACCTACGTACTCCTAATCCAAGCATTACTCATCCAAACATACAAATGATGCACAACTGAAGTCTCCTCCATCATCCCTATAAATAAATCAAAATGACAAAGAGAGAAAAAAAAAAGAAGCAAAGATTATAAACATAAAAAATTAGGTGGAAGAGAAATTTTACCATTGGTCCATATTTCCATAGAAAACTTGTAAAATGAGCATAAAAAAGACCATCGAGAACCTGCAAATTTTCAACAACAAAAAAACATACGACTCACATAGAAAACCTGCAAAAGAAAAAGTTATAAATCTGCAAGCTTCCTCCTCATCTCCTGATAACCAAATCAGAAAATCTAAAAAGAAACCAGAAATAAAAAAAAATATGTAAACAAATCAGACAAATCAAGAGAGACAAAATCTGAAATTAGGGATACAAAGAACATACCAAAAACGCAAAGAGACTAATCCAGAATTCACTAGCAAGATATAGAAGGGTATTAAGAGATTAGGTGACTTTCAAATCAACCTTTCAACCAGCTTTGATTCTCAAATACAGAACATCCCTCTACATCTTATGGATTTGCTAAGACCTCAATCTCTCAACTCCTTCATTGATATCGATCTTTTGATGATTTTGTAGAGAGTTTCATGAGGGTGTTTTAGAGAGTGCAGAGGTTTAAGGGAGAGATAAGGTTTTCAGGGACGGGGGAAAATCTGAAAATTTGACAAGCGCGAATTCACTTAAGTAGACTTTTTTTAGCGTGTTTTAAAAGACGACGCTTGTTAATGAGAGATAAGATTTTCAAAGACGGGTGAAAATTTGAAAATTTATCGAGCGCGAATTCACTTAAGCGGCCATTTTTTAGCGTGTTTTAAAAGACGACGCTTTCTTTTAAAAAAAATTTGTCATCTTTACATATAATATACGACGGTTTTTTTATAAAAAGCGTCATCTTTACATATAATAGACGACGGTTTTTATAAAAAGCGTCATCTTTACATACAATAGACGTTTTTTTACACTACACTCCTTGACCCTATATGAATACAATGACTGAATTTGATCTTCAATTTAAAATATTTACCCTAGTGGATACCACAAAATCTTATGTTATATTTAACGAAAGTATAAATAAACTCTTAATTGTTAGTGAATATTTTTTTTTATGGCATACGCATTTTAAGAAACTAGTTTCAACGATCCAACCGTCAAACTTGTTTGTTTATACTTCGAGATCATCTACACCAAAAATCGAAAAAAATAAACATTCAGAGATAAAGTAACGGGACAAAAAATTTTGACGGTTATAAATGAAAAATCATGATTTAAAGGTTATTTTAACTCCGATTTTGATGATTTTTTACCGCTACACTCCTTGACCCTATATGAATACAATGACTGAATTTGATCTTCAATTTAAAATATTTACACTAGTGGATACCACAAAATTTATGTTATATTTAACGAAAGTATAAATAAACTCTTAATTGTTAGTGAATATATTGTTTTGATGGCATACGATTCTAAGAAACTAGTTTCAACGATCCAACCGTCAAACTTGTTTGTTTATACTTCGAGATCATCTACACCAAAAATCGAAAAAAATAAACATTCAGAGATAAAGTAACGGGACAAAAAATTTTGACGGTTATAAATGAAAAATCATGATTTAAAGGTTATTTTAACTCCGATTTTGATGATTTTTTACCGCTACACTCCTTGACCCTATATGAATACAATGACTGAATTTGATCTTCAATTTAAAATATTTACACTAGTGGATACCACAAAATTTTATGTTATATTTAACGAAAGTATAAATAAACTCTTAATTGTTAGTGAATATATTGTTTTGATGGCATACGATTCTAAGAAACTAGTTTCAACGATCCAACCGTCAAACTTGTTTGTTTATACTTCGAGATCATCTACACCAAAAATCGAAAAAATAAACATTCAGAGATAAAGTAACGGGACAAAAAATTTTGACGGTTATAAATGAAAAATCATGATTTAACGGTTATTATAACAAACCATCATCTTTACATATAATAGACGACCATTTTTTATAAAAGCGTCATCTTTATATATAATAGACGACCCTTTTTAAATAAAAAAAATCGTCATCTTTACATATAATAGACGACGTTTTTTATAAAAAGAGTCATCTTTACATATAATAGACGACGGTTTTTTTTATAAAAAGCGTCATCTTTACATATAATAGACGACGATTTTTATAAAAAGCGTCATCTTTACATATAATAGACGACGGTTTTTAAAAAAATCGTTATCTTTACACATAATAGACGACGGTTTTTATAAAAATCGTCATCTTTACACATAATAGACGACGGTTTTTAATAAAAATCGTCGTCTTTACATATAATAGACGACGGTTTTATAAAATCGTCATCTTTACATATAATAGACGACGGTTTTTATAAAAATCGTCATCTTTACATATAATAGACGACGTTTTTTTTTATATAAAAAGCGTCATCTTTACATATAGTATGACGTATGATAACAAAATCAAAGAAATAAATTGATAAAAAAATTCATATTAAGACGACGGTTTAAATATAAGGTATGACATATAAAGGGAATAAATACGACGTTAAATTTTATAATACGTCATTAAATGAAAAACAAACGTGGTGAGATTTAAAGATACCGTCGTAGAACTATATGAGAAAGACGTCGATATATTTTTATTTTTCGTCGTTGTACATTAATTTAATACGGCGATATTTTGTATTTTACCGCCGTGGATTTATTTGTAATTATATGGCGCCTTATACGAAAACTTGGTCGTGTTATTTTCTGCGTAAAAACGGCGGCGTTTTTTGAAATCATCGTCTTTACTTTCTACGTCGGTCGATTCATAACTTCTGCCGTTCTTTATTTACTTTGATTTTACACTGCGGAAATCCTGTTTCAAATAGACGTCGGTTTTTTAATTAGGTACGTCGTTGTTTATGAACAACCATTTGAATCTTCATTTTTTAGGTGTCTAAGGTGTTATTACACGGCTGTTTTATAGAACCGTCGTCTTTTAAAAAACAACGACGGTTTCACTTAGACCGTCGTTTTTTTTCTGGTCGTCTTTGTCACTTTTTGTAGTAGTGAACCTCTAAGGAGGGTGTTGTGTGTAAGCTTTGGAAGTCTTTATATGGATTGAAGCAGTCTCAAAGAGCGTGTTTTGGGAGATTTGTAGCATTTATGAAGAAATTTGGGCATGTGCAGAGTAACTCAGACCATAATTTGTTTCTAAAGCGTCATAAAGGTAAATTGACAGCTTTAATTATTTATGTTGATGATATGATTATGATTGGAGATGATCAGGCAGAAATGCAAAATCTTCAGAAGTATCTGGCTTCCGAGTTTGAGATGAAGTCATTGGGTGATTTGAAGTACTTTCTTGGGATTGACGTTGCCATATCTAAACATGGTATCTTTCTGTCTCAAAGAAAATATATTTTGGATTTACTTACAGAGATTGGAATGTTAGATTGTAAACCAATTGATACCCCTAGTGAACAAAATCATAAGTTCGGGTTGTATCCTGATCAAGTCCCTACAGATAAAGAGCGTTATCAACGACTTGTGGGGAAATTGATTTATTAAGATCATATGGGTGCTGTGATGCGCATCTTAAGGTATCTGAAAGTAACTCCTGGAAAGGGGTTAATGTTTTGCAAGTATGGTCATACAGATGTGGAAGGGTATACAGATGCTGATTGGGCTGGTTCAGTCACTGATAGACGTTCTACGTCTGGGTATTTCACATTTTTTGGTGGTAATCTTGTTACTTGGAGGAGTAAAAAGTAAAAAGTTGTGTCTAGGTCTAGTGCCAAGGCCAAGTACCGTGGGATGACACAAGGTGTGTGTAAGTTACTATGGTTGAGAAGATTGTTGAGAGATCTTGGGTTTGGACCCCAGAAACCCATGGATTTGTATTGTGATAATAAATCTGCAATTGCAATTGTGCATAACCCTGTGCAACTGATCGTACAAAGCACGTGGAGGTTGATCAACATTTTTTAAAGAGAAGTTAGATGCTGAAATTATTTCTTTTCCATTTATATCATCCGAGTATCAATGGGGCAGATGTTCTTACGAAAGCTGTGTCTACTACGGTCTTTCTCAACTCGCTTGACAAGTTGGGCATGTGTGACATCTTTGCTCCAACTTGAGGGAGAGTATTAGCGAGATCCTAGCTTAGTTATGATATTTATTTCCTAGTTTATTAGGATTATATTTCTTTCCTTTTTGTGCAGATATTGTGCAATTAGGCTTTTATCTTGTTTCATAGTTTGACCATACTAGGGTTACATCCTTGTACTATAAATACCTTCTTTTGGAGAATGAAATACAACCTGAAAAATATTCTAACCATATTGTTATCTAACCCCAAATGGATGGATGCCATGAGTGTTGAAATGGATGTCTTGAACAAGAATAAAACATGGGATTTAGTTCCTTTGCCACGAGGAAAGAAAGCTGTTGGATGCAATTGGGTGTTTACTTTGAAGCATAAAGCTGATGGTTCCATTGACAGTTACAAGGCTAGATTGGTAGCAAAGGGTTATTCTCAGACCTATGGTGTGGATTATTTGGAGACCTTTGCTCTAGTGCCAAAGCTCAATACTGTGCGCATACTATTGTCTCTGGCTGCTAACCGCGGCTGTCCCTTATTACAATTCGATGTCAGAAATGCGTTTCTACATGGTGACCTTAAGGAGGAGATTTACATGGATCTCCCTTCTGGTATTCCTGTAACCTCTAAGGAGGGTGTTGTGTGTAAGCTGCAGAAATCTTTATATGGATTAAAGCAGTCTCCAAGAGCGTGGTTTGGGAGATTTGCATCATCTATGAAGAAATTTGGGTATGTGCAGAGTAACTTAGACCATACTTTGTTTCTAAAGCGTCATAAAGGTAAATTGATAACTTTAATTATTTATGTTGATGATATGATTGTGACTGGAGATGATCGTGTAGAAATGTAAAATCTTCAGAAGTATTTGGCTTCCGAGTTTAAGATGAAGTCATTGGGTGATTTGAAGTACTTTCTTGGGATTGAAGTTGCCAGATCTAAACATGGTATCTTTCTATCTCAAAGAAAGTATATTTTGGATTTACTTGCAGAGATTGGAATGTTATATTGTAAACCAATTGATACCCCTATTGAACAGAATCATAAGTTGAGGTTGTATCATGATCAAGTCCCTACAGATAAAGAGCGTTATCAACGACTTGTGGGAAAATTGATTTATTTATCTCATACACGTCTTGATATTGCATATGCAGTGAGTGTAGTGAGTCAGTTTATGCATTCTCCTAGTGAAGATCATATGGGTGCTGTGATACGCATCTTGATGTATCTGAAAGTAACTCCTGAAAAAGGGTTAATGTTTTGCAAGTATGGTCATACAGATGTGGAAGCGTATACGGATGTTGATTGGGCTGGTTCAGTCACTGATAGACGTTCTACGTCTGGGTATTTCACATTTGTTGGTGGTAATCTTGTTACTTGGAGGAGTAAAAAGTAAAAAGTGGTGTCTAGGTCTAGTGCCGAGGCTGAGTACCATGGGATGACTCAAGATGTGTGCGAGTTACTATGGTTGAGAAGATTGTTGAGAGATCTTGGGTTTGGACACCAGAAACCCATGGATTTGTATTGTGATAATAAACCTGCAATTGCAATTGCACATAACCCTGTGCAACATGATCGTACAAAGCACGTGGAGGTTGATCTACAATTTGTTAAACAGAAGTTGGATGCTGAAATTATTTCTTTTCCGTTTATATCATCCAAGTATCAACTAGTAGATGTTCTTACGAAAGCTGTGTCTACTACGGTCTTTCTCAACTCGCTTGACAAGTTGGCCATGAGTGACATATTTGCTCCAAGTTGAGGTGGAATATTAGCGAGATCCTAGCTTAATTAGGATATTTATTTCCTAGTATATTAGGATTATATTTCTTTCCTTTTTGTACAAATATTGTGTAATTAGGTTTTTTATCTTGTTTCCTAGTCTGACCCTACTAGGGTTACATCTTGTACTATAAATACCTTCTTTTGGAGAATGAAATACAACATGAAAAATATTCTACCCATATTGTTTGACTTATACGGGTGTTCACACACACATTAACAAGCTCAAGAATTCTTATATCTATTTAGAAAGCAGCTCTACCTCTCTGTGCAATCTCCATGCTCAGTTTATCAATACTAGCACCCCATAAGGATGTTCAGTTGCTATTAACTCACAGCTTAGGCTGGTATTTAATTATTTTTATTATTAATAAATGTTGATAATTTTTCAGGTCAATAAATATATACCAACGTTTTGAGTGAAATATTTCTTCGAATTTGCTTTGGAATATTTGTTCAGAGTCCACTTGTTTGAGGATATAGGTATGGGCTATGGGGTATGATAGTTCAAATATTTTTTTCGATATGGGTATTATTGGAGTTTGACAAGGAATCTAAATTATTGCTTTGCCTACACTAAATTAAAAAAATCTTATTGTATCGTACCATGTATTTGAATACATGGTGGTAGATGACATAGGAAACTGACTGAGCTGAATTAACCATTGGCTCCGCGATGTGGACTCAAAGCCCACACTAACACTAGCTGAGGCGGACGACTGACCACTCGAACCAGACGAGCACTAAAACCACACAGCTCCGTAATGTCACCACATAGACCCGTAGGGTTGGCCCATATGGTAAGGAGAAATCAAGGGTATCTTCCTACATACCTTGGAAAGTCCATTGGTAACCTTGCATCCACTACTACAAAAAAGGAAAAAGACGACGGGAATTCACCGTCGTGTATTCCATTTTCAAATGGTCATGAAATCGACCGACATCTTTTCCCAAATCAAACCACGACGCTAAATCACCGTCGTTGTTAAAACAAACAACGTCATTATTAACAAATAATAACCGACGTCTGTGTACTGGAAAAAGAGTTTAAAAAAAAGTCAAGGATGAGAATAGACGACCAATTCTAACAAAAAAAACGTCGTTTAAAAGGAAACATATGACATATTTTAACAGAACATGGCCGCAAGATATACATACAACGACGAGAACTAAAACTCATAGCCGTTAGATATAACTTTCACGACACATAAAACTATGACGTCTTTAAATACATAATCGACGACGTTATTGATTCCTACTACGTCACTACAGTTTCAACAACCGTCGTGAAATAAATTTTCCACTTCGATTTTTCTATTAATGATGACGTGGAAATAGATGTTAGGGTCATTACTTATGACGCATGTATTTCTACAAACAACGTTGTACTCAATAAACAACGTCGGGTCCAAATAAATGAGAGCCGTATTACATAATTTATACGTCATCTTTTAAAAGATAATCGTCGTCTAATGCATCTGAGACGGCAACGTTTCTCAGTCGATCGCCGTGGAAAATTATTTTAACGACATGATCTGAAAATAAACAACGTGGAAAACATGTTGGGGTCATTACTTACGACACATTCATTTATACAGACGACGTTGTCGTCAATATACAACGTCGTTATCATGCAAAAGACAGCCGTGTTTCAGAATTTATACGTCATCATTAATAAAATTACCGTCGTCTAATGCCTATTAGACAGCTTGTTTTATCCGAAATTCGCCGTGTAAAGTAATTTTAACGACATGATCATAAGAAAAGAGACGTGGATACATTCATATAACGTTGTTTTTGTAAAGGAACGACGTCCAAATATATCTTAACATTGACAAATTTACCAATGGATTTCAAATACCGTTGTGAATTAATCCTTTTCCACTTCATTTATGAAAGAACATGCGCTGTGGAAAAATTAAGACGACGTCGTCTTTTGTAACGTTCATGTTAGATATCTCATCTTTTAGACGTCAGTATTATGGGATTGGAGTCGTGTTATTTGGAATTACATGGCGGCTCTTTATGCTTCTCCGACGTGATATCCTTAATAACTGTTTCACAATAGCGTCGTGGTTCTTCATTGTTACGTTGCTTTAAGACGTCAGTAAATATATTGCCGTCGATGAATGCTCCAAAACGTCATTTTTTATTAGGACAGACGTAGGTTTTTCACATTTTTATCAAGACCGTCGTGTTTGTAATCTTGGACCAGTATTTTTTGTACTGATTGTTTTGTGGCCAAAACCTGTATAATGAAAGTGAAGAAATCATATTACAATATATTACAAAATTAATGTCATACACTGCCAATTACATAAGCATCATTCAATCCATATATCTTCACACCCATCCCGAATATTTTGACTCCCAAACTCACCCACCAGTTCATCAAATGTGTCAACATTTGGCATCCCTCTAGTAAATGGCTCACACTCAATTCTCACATCACCTAAGACGCATGTATTTCTACAACCAGGGTACAATGGTTGATCTCCATCCCCAATCACATTGGCAAACTCATAAGGATCGGATCCAAAATCACCAAAATCATTATCATCCATCTCTATTTCTTCATACACAAAACTGTACCTACTATGGTCATCATCTTCTTCAACATTTCTACTAGCATTAGTAGTTGCTTCCCAAGGTTCTCCGTGAAATGTCCAATTCTTATAGCTTTGGTCAACTCCATTAAAGTATAAGTGATCCCTTATAATTCCAACCCCAAACAATTTCAAATTCACACATTTAACACATGGACAACGGATATGTGTTGTAGTTAGAAGATTTTCTACAGAAAAGTTCAAAAATGCTTCCACCCCTAACTCATATGCCTTCAGTCTTCTATTCGAGTGCATCCATGACTTATCCATCTCCGACACTATACCATATTATCTATAATAAAGTGAAAAGACAAGCAATGACCATCACTATAGCAGATTATATAAAGTTTTAATAGCAAGTAATATAATATACAGATGACGATTTTTAAACAAAAACAGACGTATTGGACATATATAGATGAAGGATTTTCAACAAACGTTGTCTAATTCTAACCACGACGGTAGTTAAAGAAAACCGTCGTGTATAAAAAATACAGACGACGGTTTATTAACAAACCGTCGTCGTATGCCTAAAAAAGTGTCGAGATCCCAGTTTATTTTCAAGAACCCAAAACCCTATTAGGAACACAACATATACATTAATTTTTATGTTGGGTATTAAGAACATGTATACTTAGCATGAAACCAACATATACTAAGCATGAAAACAATAAATCCATTCCCGATTCAACATAACAGAGAGTGATTAAAAGATCCGACAACATTAAATCCATTCCCGATTGATCATGAAAACATTAAACAGAAAATCCATGAACCCATACCTCCAACAACATTATTAAAAGATCGCAAAACATATATCTAAAACCCTTAAAAAAAACAACCTAATATCATTCAATGAATTTACAAGGGGAAGATAAGGGTTTGTACTTACAGGTAGGCAGAGCTCACAGATTATGGCCTACTTGGATTCGACGGAGCCTGGAGAGCCCAACTTTGAATTAGAGTTGAAGTGAGAGAGCGAAATGTTATGTTGCGCGAAATCTGAAAATTTTAGGGTTCAGGGTTACAAAGACTTAGAGCGAAATCTGAAAATTTTAGGTTGAGCGAAATTTTTTAGAAAGCGCGCTCTTTAAAACATTGGCGGAAAAAAAACCGTCTTTAAAATTTCACATTAAACATGACGCTTATTACATTAAAGACGTCGTGGTAAAACTTTGTATGACGCAAAATCAAAAATCCGTCGTCAAAACTAAAGCAAAACCATGGCAGAAGTTTCACCAAAACCGACGTAAACTCAATATTCCACGACTCAAACACTGAACTTAACGCCATTTATTTCAAACCAACCACGTCATCTGTTGAACCAATAGCGTCATTTGAATAACCTTTTACAATTTTTTTTTAAAAATCGATGACGTTGTTATTCATGTACAACGTCATTTTAAAGGAACGCCGGTTTAGAAAGCGCACTTCGTAAATCATCGACTGAAAACATAAACACCGTTGTTAAAAAATAACACCCTAAACCCTAAACCCTAAACCCTAAATTATATATTTCTAAAATATAATTTTATAAAAGGGTTTATGGTTTTACAGCCTAATATATAACAAACATAAACCCTAAACCCCAAAAATTATCCTTTAACCCTAAACCCTAATATATAACAACCCTAGACCCTAAACCATCAAACTATAAGTGATGTCATGACTCATCAAAACAATTTTGTTTTGGCTGGTCATTTTAAATTTGTATTACTCAAACTGCATTTTTTTTAAGCTTTAGGGGGAAGAAAATATATCAATGACTTCATAGGAGTTGACGTTGCATTTTTTGGATTTATTTTGAATTAAAATAATAAAATATTCTTATAAACAAAAACAAACCACGTCGGCGTTAAGAAATTAAAGACGTTGTAAATCATAATAAACGACTCACCTGTAAAAAAAAACGTCGTTTAAAACCGAAACCATGGAGGAAGTTTCACCAAAACCGACGTAAACTCAATATTCCACGACTCAACCACTGAACTTACCACCGTTTATTTCAAACCAACCATGCCGTCTGCTGAACCAATAGTGTCGTTTGAATACCCTTTTATGTTTTTTTTTAAATCGATGACGTTGTTATTCGTATACAACGTCATTTAAGGAACGCCAGTTTAGAAAGCGCACTTCGTAAATCATCGACTGAAAACATAAACACTGTCATTAAAAAATAATACCCTAAACCCTAAACCCTAAACCTTAAATTATATATTTTTAAAATATAATTTTATAAAAGGGTTTATGGTTTTACAGCCTAATATATAACAAACATAAACCCTAAACCCTAAACCATCAAACTATAAGTGATGTTATGACTCATCAAAACAATTTTTTTTTGGTGGTCATTTTAAATTTGTATTACTCAAACTGCATTTTTTTAAGCTTTTGGGGGAAGAAAAATATATCAATGACTTCATAGGAGTTGACGTTGCATTTTTTGATCTATTTTAAATTTATTATGAATATTTTGAATGAAATAGAATAAAATATTCTTATAAACTCCAACAAACCACTTTGGCGTTAAGAAAGTAACGACGTTGTAAATTTAATAAACGACTTACTTGTAAAAATGACGTCGTTTAAAAGCGAAACCATGGTGAAATTTTCACTCAACGACGTCGCATCGACGTACAAACGGTATATCAGACTTAAACTAAAAAGGTTCGCCACGTCATCTCTATCGTCTAAATAACCTTTTACGTCGGATTTGTATCAAATGATGACGTTGTTATTTTTTACAACTTCGGGTTGTAATAAATGGAACATGCATTAAACGTCACCTATACTTCCTTTAGACGTCGTCTGTAATGTACAATTGTGTTTTTTATTCCTCTCGTTTTATTTTTTTACAAACTTTTTGTTGGCTGTTGCGAATCTCGCGGCCTGGTGCTCTGGGCCGAGGGGATGTGCCTCAACACGTGACGTCCTTCTTTTGGATGCGGTGCGGTTGTGCGCGGGCGTGCCAGCACGGTCTACCATGCGTCGAGATGATGATGAGGTTCGGGTAGAAGATGGTTAAATGTTGCGCCTGTTTTGCGTTCCACTCCTAATCAAACGATTATGGCCGAGAGAGGAACTGATCTCGGCCGTCAGGTTCACGGCTTGAGCTACAAGGCCGTTTAGTGGTGGTGTTGGTGGTGGGTTTTAGGCGGTGCTCCGGCGCGTTGCTCAGAAAGCGACGGTCGTATGATATATGGGGTGAATGAGACGATAACAGAGATGGTGCTCCGGCGCCTTGAAAATCAAGGGTCATATGATATATTGATGAATGGATTTTCCTTACAATCTACCACTACTCCTAGGAAAGCAAATAAAGGTATTGAAAGTGCATTACAGGAAAATATAATTTGCTCCGTGGGAGGCTTTTGGTTTGGTGTTTGAACCCTTTGAATGTAGTAATGAGCTTAGTATTTATAGGAGGAGTCCTGGAGGGACAATCAAGGCTGACAAGACCTGCGTGGTGGAGCCTGACCAGGGCAAGTGGGTAGTCAAATCAGCATTTGGGATCGTGAAGCATGGTGGTTTGGGGTTGAGAAGCATGGTGGTGTGACCCCCATAAATCTCGGTAAATCTTGGCCACTGCCCTGATTGTGGGTTCTGCCCCCTTGGCCGTGGGAACGCATTTAATGCCCTGGTTTGGTGGTTGGTGATTTGACCTCAAGTCGTAAGATTACTTGTGAGAATGTCTGCGCCTAACCACCCTGATTTCCATCACCAAATCCTTACTTCAGTCACTTCCCTTCTTCCCTTGTGCATTAAATGATTCTTGCGACTAGTGGGTTTGCTGCGAAAGTCAGAGGCATTATTTCATTAAATGGGGCGTGGGACCCTGAGGCCACGTGGCAATTTAACCACAGCTTCTTCGGTCGTGTCTTTTACGGCCTTCGGCTTTGGCCTTCAACACTGCGGTCGTGAGGCCGAGAGGATTCTGCCTTTGCAGTTTTTCTTTTGTTCTCAGGAAGGCGAAATGCTTGACAAAACGATAGGCACCAGGGCCGAAAGGAAGTCCCTTCAATCAGTTTATGATCGTGATTTAATAGGCACAAACACTTTTGTACTCCATAAGACGACGATTTTTGACATAATTATGTCGTTGGAATGTTATTACACGTCGGTTACGCAATTTCTTTTTTTTTAAATTACGAAAACCTCAACAAATTTTCAGGGAAAAAAAGGGTGTATATTATAGACAAAAATGTCAAGTGTTCTAAAAATAATCTACTCCATATGAAGGCAAACAAACTCTGCCCATTCTTTCCTGACTTCATCAATGGCTGCTTGGGGGTACGGAGCTTGATCTTTTCCCTTCGCAAACTGCAATCCAAAAACAATGATTATTAAGCTTTATAAATAAACAGAAATTCAATCAAAGACAACGCTATTTTTCATAACCGACGTAGTATATAGATTCAATGACAGTAATTTTAAAGGACCGTCGTTGATAATACAAAAAACCACATAAAATAAATATGAAAATTTTCTTCTTACCGTCTTCTCAAACTCCAGGGAAGGATCCATGATGATGTCTCTCATGAAGCGCATGACATAATAGCCGCATCCTACACTGCTTGGTTGCTTTGGTGTGCCTGACAGAGTTTTCCAAATGGTTGCTTTACGGCCTTGTCTGCCTATGTGTGAATTATACATTTTGATAGCACTGTTCAACATGTTTTTGGCCTCCTCATCAACCGCTCGATTTCCGGGTAGAGGATCCAGAAAATAGACAGTTTCCTTCTTTGCTCTCACAATGAGCAAGACCCAATGACGGCTGCACAAAATTAATATAAAACAAAGATATATAAAAAAGTCAGCACAAGAAAACACACGACGGTTATTTATAAAAAAACACGACGTATTATATAATTTCACACGACGCAATAACATAGCAATCGACGTCATCATAAATTTATCACGACGGTACTTAACTAACGACGTGGTTAGAAGTTTCAAACGACGCCATAAATAAACCACCGACGTGGTTATAAGTTTCAAACGGCACAAAATCTTGTTAAGGAGACTAACCCTGGATTGTAAGGCATCATGAAAATCTGTTCACCATCTGTCTTCTGAAGTCGATTGGCTACCAAGCGTGATCTCTCAGTTAATGACCTAGCGTTGGCACTAACTTGAGCAGGATCGATAAAGCCAACCATGTTGAACATATTTGCAGCTTTCAAATTATCAAATAGGCACCTAAATATATATATGAAATGATCACATGACTTCTTTTTTTTTTTTCAACAGAAAGGAAATAAATATTTGATAAGATAAGGACAAACCTCATATATACTGCAACCACAGTAGCCCCAATTTCTTCCATGCCTGCTAACTGTGTAATATCTTCAGGCAAAACGAAGGTACTATGATCATCACCAAACACCTCCTTCTCAATTGTAAAGGTCATAATCTTCTCATGAGGCTTTAGTGTCGTTTCCACATAACGACAAAGGGATTGTAAAGAAGATGGCACCTCCAGCTTTGAATAATCAACTACTTCAATATTCTTTTTAAAGAAATAAAGCAAAATAAAATGACGTGGTAATTCAACAAACACGACACTTTAAAGAAAAAAACGTCGTCTGATAAAACTTTAAACGATGGTAACAAAACACCGTCGTGGTGAATAATTTATTATGTCATAGAAAACAAATTCCGACGTCTAATTAAAATGCAAAATTTATAGATAATGAATTTACCACAATTTCCTTTTCCTTTTCTCCACCACTGGATTTCTGTTTTAATAAATAAATAGAGATATATAAGAAAGCTTGTACAACAATGTAAAAATTCAATTAAAAACAAAACTGCCGTTGAAATTTAAAACAAACGACGGTTTAAAGAAAATATTGATGTCTGAATTTTGAAAAACAAATAAAAAAAGGCAAAGTTATGAGAATATACCTTTTCATCTTGCTTTTCTTCATCTTGTTTTTCTAAATCCCCAGATTTCTATTTTAAGAAATAAAGAAATATATATATAAGACAGATTGTACAGAAAGTAAAAAAATTAAATCAAAACGTTGTGGTAAGGCATAACATAAGACGGTATGTAAGAATTATGGACGTCTTAAAATCATTAAACGATGGTAAATAATAAACGTCATGGGGATTTATCTATTACGTCGGTAAGGACTAAAACCGTCGTCTAAATCACCATAAAACTTTTCAAAAATAACGACGTCTAATGACGTGTAAAACAAGTAAACTAAATACGACGTGGTATTGAAATCCAAACGACAGTTTATTAATAAAATCGTCGTGGTATGTGTTTCAAACGACGGTTTGATTCATAATAACGACATCTAATAGCTTTTTAAAAAAACAGAGAATTCAAGGTTCAGATATGTTACCATTCATCTTGCTTTTCCCCATTTTTGGCAGTATCATCCTCAAAATTTAGGGACTTCCCATCAGCCCCAGATCAGCTTGCTTTGTCCGACATTGGATTTTTGGGACTTTGCTCTTGACCGTGGTTTTGACAAGGGCTAGTTTTCGGTTTAAGCATGCTTGGATCAAAATTGGGGATGAGTTGGGAAAGCTGACTTAGTAAACTTTCCCTCTCAGCCTCTACCAATTGCTTGGTTCTAGCCTCCATCTTTAAAGTCATTTCCCTTGATCTAGCTTCCATCTTCAAAGTCTCTTCTTGAAGGACAAGTCTTACACTTTCCTTTAATTGATCGGCAAACTTTATCCTCTGTTGTCTAGGTAAATTGAAGTATTGCCTAGGGGAAATCCCAGCACCTACCCCTTAAACGACGCAATAATAAACCACCGACGTCTTATGCTATAATTACAAAAAAAACAGAGTAGCGATTCCAAATTAAGACCTGTAACGACGTTTTTTAAAACATCTTGACGTAGTAATATCATTCACACGACGCAAAAATAAAAATAAGACGTAATAAGAATTATCAGGGCAATACACAGTTTAATAAAAATTTAAAACAGAGTGAGTAGGCTTACAATTAATTTTGCTTTCTTTGCCACCTATGGATCCGGGATGTTACCATGTTTGTCTTGTCTAGCTTTCTTCCATAAGGTAGATCGATCAATTTCTACCTCGGGCATGGTTTCCTCCAATTGATCCTCCAAACCAACATATCCTTTTCGAGACAATCAATGATTGTACTCAAGTTTCTCCCTAATCTATGAATGTTGAGAATGCACAGACACAAAAGCCATGTCAACGGCTTCCCAAATCTGCTCTTTTATATCATTGGGGATTTCAGCCCATTTCTTGTCCATAAGTGGGACTCTGGAGCGTGCCAACACACCAATGTAGGACTGCATCTCAGTATGTGCAAGGCCACATCCTTTCCCCCTTTAATTGTACTCAACAACTGGCTTGATTTTCTGATATTTTCTCTTCACAACACGAGGCATTGTGCTTATACCTCGACCTGACTTTGAATCCTCAGAAATTGTTGTCGTGCTGGCTGGTTTTGTCTCAGCAGATGAAACAAACTTCATCTTCTTCAAGGACTTGTCTTGAGGAGTTACCATTCCAATCTCCTTACCTCCATTTTTTTTTGAGCCAGAGTCCTTACTTTGGTCTTGAGAAACCATGGTTACAGACAAATCAAACCTGCAAGTGAAAAAATTTCAGGAAAAAATTAAGAACACAAACGACGGTTATTTATAAAACACGACGTATGATAAGATTTTACACGACGCAATAACATAACATCAGACGTAATAAATGTTTAAAATGATGATACTTAAACAACGACAAAACAATATAAAGAAGACGTAATAAGAACTTATTACGGCGATATTTACATTCCATCGTGATATTTAAATTCAAACGACGTTAATATTAATATAACGTTGTGGTATTAACATTCACACGACGTGAATAATAAGATACCGTCGTCTATATAAGATTCCAAACCCTTCTTTCTTTGTCTTTGTATTTTATCAAATTAGGAAAAACAAAAACCATGGTTCAGAGAATCAAACATTCACAGACAAAGAAAGAAGGGTTTGGAATCTTATATAGACGACGGTATCTTATTATTCACGTCTTGTGAATGTTAATACCACGATGTGAATAATAAGACATCGTCGTCTATATAAGATTCCAAACCCTTCTTTCTTTGTCTTTGTATTTTATCAAATTAGAAAAAACAAAAACCATGGTTTAGAGAAATCAAACCTGCAATCAAACAAGCAAATAAAAAAACGATGGTCATTTTAAAAACAACTTAGAACAACTTTCAGACGACGCTAGGACGACTGACAAACCGTCGTGGTCTATAAATTTAACCACGTAAATAAGAAGCTACCGTCGTCCTTTTTAGTTGAAGTAGTTGTGTTCAAAGTTGGAAACTTTCCTTCTTTGTCTGTATATTTTATCAAACTTGGAAAGAATTAAAATGATTTTGGCCAGAAAAAAGGTAAAAAGATTTTCAAAACAAAAATCGTATGAGCATGCAAAACAGCAACAAAATAGTGAGAAATGCTTACCTTTTGCGTGCAATGAAAGCTTCTCTTGGAGTTTGGAGTTTAAGTTCAGAAACGACGACGAAGACGAGAGGAAGACGATGAGATACACTGATAGTGCTCTGACAAGGAAAAAACATGAAAAGTTTTCTCTCGGAGATTGAAATTTTTTCTCGGGTTTGGAATCAGTGCAAGAAGTCAGGTAGACGAAAAGTTGAATATATTCACAAACCGTTTCATAAAAATAAGACGTCGGTTTACAGAGAAGGAAGACGTATAAATAATAAAACTACGACGGTAATTTGAACTTAGGATGTGGTAAATAAATACGATAGTAGTGTTGTAGGTACCGTCATAGTAAACTCCAAAATAAAAGTCGATAAATTAATCTCTCGCGTCATGGTACAAAGATTTAACACGTCGTTGTTTTGTAATATACCGACGTGGGTTATGTTATAATATAAGACGTGGATTAAATAATAACCAACATGGATGTTTACAATTAAACGGCGGTTTGTGTGTAAGGACCGCCGTGGGTTTTAAAGATTTATTGTATAAATTTGACGCTTTCTTTCAGTTTCAGTTTTCATTTAGGGTTCCAAGTTCTTTGGAGGCTCGTCTTCCTTTCTCACAGACACTCTCTCTCACATCTCAAAGACAATAATTTGGATGTATCTCAAGGACACATTGTCTTTCGCAAAGAGAAATGGAGTCTTCTCAAGAAGAAGCTTTTCATCCAGCCTTCTCACTTCCTTGATCAAGCCTGATAGGAGACTTAGTGCTTCTGATATGATTGAGACTTTAGAAATGACGACTTTTAGATAGAATTTAAACTTGGGATTTATGATCTCCAAATCCCAAGTTTATTTCCCACATCCAAACGCACCATTAGCGTTTCAACTTATTCTTGCCCTTTTCTTTGTCTCACCTATTAAAATCAAATACGAATATAAAAAAAAACGACGGTTTTTTGTTCTACCGTCGTCTTTTTTGGTCGTCTTAAATGTCGTCGTAGTATACTAAAGTAAGATGGTGGTAGGTTTATAATTACCGACGTAGATTCTTTCTGTTAAATGTCGGTAAGTGTAATATAACCGACGTGGATTAGATTTTTTAATTATAAATAGAGTTTTTTTTTTCACGAGTTCTTTTAGTTTTAGTTTCAATTAGGGTTTCAACTTCTTCTTGCCCTTTTCTCTGTCTCACCTCTTAGGAGGCAATTGTTTGGATGTTGATGTGTGTGTGCGTTTGTGTACACAAACGCACACACATCATCAACTTCCAAAAAATTGTCTCTTTGATTGCAAATCTGAGGCTGCCGTCATCAAATTTCAGAGACAATTTTTTGGATGTTGATGTGTATGTGCCTTTGTGTGTTTCAAAGACACGAAGACACATACATCATCAACCTCTAAAATATTGGCTTTTTTTTGGTCCGATTATGATGAGGAACAAAGTTCCATCTGGTAAGATTTCGTAACTCTTGGGATCTCAGATCTAATTATGTTTGCTGTTTTCTATATAAACCGTTGTGGCTATTCTCAATTCTTGACATTATGTTGATCCACAAACGTAGGAGGACAAAATTCAAGGAAAAAAAAATACAATTAAGACGACGGTTTAGATATAAGGTCGGACGTATAAAGTTAATAAATACGACGGTAATTTTAACTTCACAACGTATATCTTGGATCTCAGAAAAATCTATTATCTTGGATCTTGGTTTTCTATGTAAACCGTCGTGGTTATTCTCAATTCTTGTCCTTAAGTTGGTCTACCGTCGTAGGATACCAAAATCCAGGAAATAAATAGTAAAAAATAATGTAATTAAGACGACCGTTTAGGTATACAGTTAGACGTATAAAGTGAATAAATACGACGGTAGTTTTAACTTCACGATGTAGTAAATTTTTTACACGGCGTTAATTGAACAAACCAACGTGGTTAGAGTTAAAGATACCATCGTAGTATTGAACATGAAATAAGTCGATGAAAGTATATTTTACGACGTTGTACATGTATTTAAGACGGCGGTATTTTGTACTATACCGCCGTGGATTCTTTTGAAATTATGCGACGCCGGATACGAAAACTTGGTTGTGGTAATTTCGGAAAAAAGACGGCGGCTGTTTCTTTAAACCGTCGTCTTTACTTTCTACGTTGGTGGATTCATACCTTCTGCCGTTGTTTGTTGGCTCCGAGTTTACTCTGTAGAAAACCTTTTTCAATAAGACGACGGTTTTTAAAATAGGTGTGTCGTGTTTTAAAAACAACCACTGGATTCCCCATTTTTTAGGTGTTTAAGTTATTTTTACACGGCGGTTTTATAAAACCGTCGTCTTTTCAAAAATAACGACGGTTTTCCGTTAAACCGTCGTTTTTTTCTGGTCGTCTTTTTCACTTTTTGTAGTAGTGATCCCCTCTAGGATCAAAGTTTTACGTTGACCACTGGTGATTATTCAAATTGCTGCTTTCCAAATTTGATGTACAATGTATTGTAGAATTTTTTCCACAAGCATGACCACTTGAAAAAGTGTGTCCGGCCCCCTTTGCATTAGTCTGTCTGTCCGGCCCCCTTTGCATTAGGACAAGAGCGGTCCTTTTTACAAGACTTTTCCCAGTTTCTTTGGTTTTTGCTGGAAAGACTTTCCCAAGTTGATCATTAGGAATATTGCAGATATAACAAAGGCAAATAAAATAAATAAATATATATATATATATATAATAGTAACTTATTCCATTTTCAAGAGGAGGTCACATGCTCTCTTATAAACACACGTTAAAAGACATCTAGTCCCTATTGCTAACTGAACATAAGAATTGTACAGAGAATAGAAGACTTTTCTTTTGAGCTTTCATCAATGGCAGGTAAGTACTATATATTATGATTAATATTTTTATTTGATTCAAGATCTTTCCCTTGATGTGATTCTATGTGTGTATAGGGTTTAAGGAATTTATGTAATTAGTTTACAATAGTAACTTCCATTTATTGAAAGATTGTCTTCCATTTGATTTTAGAGTATTTGCCTCCACTTATTTGAAGATCTTTCCATTTTTATTTTTGCATATACATAAGATGGGTCTCGATCTCGATCTGAAGCTGAACAACTGAACCAGAGCTCTCAGGAGAGGGTAAGAAACCGCTTTCCTGGTCGTCCTATGACGCTTTCTGGAGAAGAGCCCCAAAGAGAAAGAACTGAACAAGAGCTCCAGCAAAATGAAAATAGTGAGGCAGAAAATACTGATGAAAGCAACGAGACCTTCAACATTAATGAGAATGATTTCTGCGCAATTGAAAGTACAGATGTTGGGATTCATGATATTTACAACGAAGAAGGTGGAGGTGGTGTTGATATTCATCAACGAAGGAGGGGTCGAAACCACAACATTTGTGGCAATACATTTTATGCAAACAAAGGTGAGCGTGTTGGGATTAGCAAAGTTGGCAACAAGTACAACAACAAGTCGAGCGTACCATTACTTCTTGGTCTTCTTGGTCTTCTTGTTCTTCTTGTTCTTCTTGTTATTGCTTCTTCTTTTTTCTTTTATTATCAATGGTGAGTAAGCAAAACAAAAAATGAAGCAAGCGGCTTGAGTAAAAAAATGGCACGACTAAGAAGAGCAAAAATAAATAGTTGGCGAAAAACTAGATTTTATGGGGCAGGTCAAGACTTGACCGCAGGATATGTATGGACTTGTTTTGTGGCAATCAATAAGTCAGATTTCTTCGTTACTAGTCCTTTCTCATGCTCAGAATTAAGCTTTCAGATGTTCATGGCATTCGAATGCGGGAAAGTTTCATCTTCTCGTTTTCGCAAATTAATAATAAATCCAAATACACACAGATTACTGATGAGTATATGTTAGGGGCTGATCCTTCTGTGATTTTGATCCTTACTTTTCTCATGTAGAACGTATTTTTCATGCTGAAAATCAATATATTAAATTCCACAGATCAACTCCAACACTATAACAAACCACATTCAAATAGTAGACACTACAAAGAAACATAGAGATGGACTATAAAATGGAAATGAACTCCAGCCTCTTTCTTTATTCAGCAGCTGAGCTCCCTTACTTTTTCTCTTATTTATTTTTACCAAAGCTTATATCATGGCTTG